CTTGAGAATGATAGCTGTAAAAGTAGTCATACAGTGCTAAATAAGGTACTTTGGCCTACCTACGCTGCAGTACCCAATATCATTCTTTAGATAAAATTACTGATAGAAATGATGAGAACTTTCCATCCTGTGTTGAACCTTTTGTAAGTGTTCCATTACCTACTAATTCTCCAAACCGATTTCCATTTACTTTGAGTGTACTTTTGGAATACTGCTCTTAGATGGTCCTTATGGCCCCACTATTTATTATGGAATAGTCACCCTGGAACTTGCTTTGTTATTCCATCCTCCCTCTGTGAAACGTTTCATTACATTGCTGATACAATGTTAAACTGTGAGTGCCTTATGGATTTAAAAAAGCATATGAAAAGACATGAAGATGAGACACCAATCTCCACAGACCCTTCTCTACAAACTGTGCCTGCCCACCAAGTTATGTACAGAGCTTTACACAACCTTAGCCGTTTTGGATAGTGTTGTTCTTTTGCTGCGCAGCTAATGCCTAAGAAACACCAACACGAGACTCAGCGCCCACGTGGAGTTTATTGAGAGAGGGGAGAGAAAGAGGGGGTAGCTGGTGGCCAACCGAAAGCAGGAGAGAGAGAGGAAACAGAGAGGGACCAGAAAACCAGAGAGACAGCAGAGAGAGCAGAGAGCAGAGGCAGAGAGAGAGAAGCACTTGGCCCACTTGCTTTAAAAGAGGCTCTCACATGCATAACTGAGTCCTCTGGCCGCCAGGTAAAGCTGAAGTAGGGATGACATGGCCATGATCGTCCCGCCCATCCTCGGGGCGGGGTCAGCTGGCTGCTAGTTTCTAACAGATAGGGAGATCAGAAAGGCCTTTAGAGATGGCCTTACTAACTGAGTGACACGTTTAGCAAAGATGCGAACAAAGTGTGGAAACAAGCCAGTTGAGTAAGTAGCTAAGGAAAACTTGGTCAGAGAAAAGTAAAGTCACAGGCCATGTCAATATCTGGCTTGTTCAATGAACTAGAGGCCATTTGTCCCAGTGTAGAGCTAAAGGGAGCAAGCAGAAAAGTCTAGATGTCAGTGAAAGTCAGAGGACCCAGAGCTTTACCAGGAAAATGAAGTCTAACATTACCATTTAAGTTAACAAATTTGGTAGCTGAACATTTACTTGTTCTCCAGTCAGGGTTTACCATTGCCAGCAGACTAGTCTGGGCTTCTTGACAGTCTGTAACTGTGTTCAATACAGTCTAGCTGTACGACTTCACCACATATGGTAAGAACTTTCAGGATGTTTTTCTCCTGTGTTTAGAAGATCCTTTCATTGTTGTTTCCTTTAAACACAGCATGAGGCTTCTAGAATACTCTGTGCTTGAAGGAATTCTTAGCATACTGCACTGTTTCTATCCATGGACCAGGCTGGCCTAGAACTCAGAGATCTTCCTGCCTCTGCCTCCCAAGTGTTGGGATTAAAGGTGATAATATTGTCAGCTCATAATATTGTTTTAATGAAAAGACGTAAAGCATATGTACCTTTGTAGCCAAAAGCAGGATGAATTTTTATCAGCCAATTTCATTTTAGGGCACTATCAGATGCATTTTAAAGTGACTGATTTGTTTTCACATTCTAACATCTTGAATCAAAGGCTGGGAAGATAACACAGCACTTAATGAATAGGTGTAAAGATTGGAGTTCAGATCCCTAGTCCCCATGTAAAAGCCATGCGGGCATGGTAGTCCCATCTGTAATCTCAGGAGTCAGGAGACTGAAACAGATCCTTAGAGTAAGCTGGCTAACCAGAATAGCCAAAATGGCCATGTTTGAAGTAGAGATCTGCGTGGGGAGACAAAGGTGGAAAGTTCTGGCACAAGGGGCATCTGAGCAGCATTCCTTACCTCCTCTGTTTTCCTCTTTAACCCAGTGGAAAAGAGATAAACATGGAGAAACCAAATTTCTGTAATGGTCACTTGGCCAGCTGGGTGTGCATTGCAAGCATCCCTGTATTTCAGGGACAGAGGACAAACTGGAGGGTGCAGAGTCAGATGCCATGTTGTCTCGGGCCAAGCAAGGCAGAGAGCCTAGTTTTCTGCCCAAAACACTGACCATGATTCCTACTTCTTATTCCCTGTGGAGCCCAAGGCTAAAGTCATACTTAAACCAAAAGATGACCGAATAGAATATGAATGAAACTACTACTAGGATGTTGGCCATCTCCTCAGGGTCCTCTATACCTACCCTGGGTAAAGTCCTGTATATGTGCGCGCACACACACACACAGGCCTGGTTTGCATAGTGAGTTCCAAGTTAGTGAAGGCTACGCAGTGAGATCCCATCCCCACTCCAACCTAAAATTTCATAAAAACGCTTCCTGAGAAGTAAAGATCATAACATTAGCACTTTTAAAATATGTTGTATGTATGGTTGTTTTGTCTGCCTGTATGTCTGTATATCCCATGTGTGTCTGGTGTCAGTGGAGGGCAGAAGAGGGCATTTGCTATCCTAGAACTAGAGTTACAGATCTTTGGGAGCCACTGTATGCACGTTGAAAATGAAATTGGGGTCCAGGGCAAAAGCAGTCAGTGTTCATAACCACTGAGCCATCTCTCCAGCCCACAGACTTTTGCATTCTTACTTAGACAAGTCACCCACATCTGAAACAGATGACATAGCTGTCTCATTCAGTAGTCACAAGAACCTTATGGAGCAGAAGATTGAATTGGGGAATAGAGGAGAGCAAGAAAAAAAAGATATCATTATAGAGGGAGCCATTATAGGTTTTAACAGAAATCTGACACTAGGGAAATGTCTGGAGACCTACAAGGATGACCCCAACTAAGAATCTAAGCAATAGTAGAGAGGCTGCATTAAATGCCCTTCCCAGGTAATGAGATTGATGGCTACCTTATATGCCACCTTAGAGCCTTCATCCAGTAGCTGATGGAAGAAGCAGACACCCATAACTAATCACTGAGCTGAACTGGAATCTACATGCAGAGAGGGAGGACAAGACCAGGCTACAGAAACCCACAGTGACAGCTGACCTGAACAAAGGGGAGCTCATAGACCCCAGACTGATGACTGGGGAACCAGCATATGACCCACCCAGAACCTCTGAACGTGAATCTCAGGGCAGAAAGGATGCTGGGAAGAAGAAAGGCAGATGCAAAGGAAGCATGATGTGTAGAAAATGAGGTAACAACGCATGAGCCATGTGTTAGAACTTAGATACCCAGACCCCCTGAACATGGGTCTCAGTTAGAAGGCCTGAGCAGTCTAAGGGACCTCAGACAGTGGAGCCAGGATGTATCCCTGGTGCACAAAAGGACTTTGGGAGCACATTCCCCATGGAGGGATACTCCCTTAACCCAGAAGCAGGAGGGAGGGCCTGGACCCTACTCCAAATGACTTGACAAATTATGATGATCCCTCATGGAAGGCTTCACCCTCCCTGGGGAGTAGATGGGGAATGGGATGGAGGTTGTTGGGGGCCATGGGAGAAAGGGAGGGAGAGGGAAAAATAAAAATAATCACTTTATGGAGCAGAAACGGTTGTTGTCTTCATTTAACAGTAGGTAAAGGCAATTGCTGGCCAGCCTGATGACCAGAGTTCAATCCGAAGAAAGAACTTATTCCCAAAAGAAGTAGCCTTTGCTGTCTTGTAAACTTCACACATTCTCAGTCCAAAAAAAAAAAAAGTCTTTAAAAAAATCATGTGTTATTTTGAAATTTATATAAACACAGAAGGAAATGATTAATCTTAAGTTAATGGGTGGGGGGGCTATGGGGTCCTTCTTCTTTGATCCATACTATTATCTAGTGAAGGAGTTTGACAGTGGAAGTCAATATCAACAGATGTGCATCCACAGCAATAACCCTGGTTAAATTCACTGAATCATAAAACCAAAACAAAGACAAGAACATGGGAAAGGGTTGGGAGGAAGATAAGGGGTAGTGTGGGGGGTAAGAATAACCAGAGCCATTACTCACATATATGAAATTTTGCATGAATATATTTAATAAACTTTTTTTGTTCACTTATGGTAAAATTACTAAGTGAGGTTGCAAAAGATATATATGACCATGAAAAGTATATACTCTTTACATTTTACGAGTTAATAATGGTAATCATAATACAACATAAGAAAAAATGCATGCATTGCTTTTTATCAGCTAGATAATCATAGCATGAACATAATTCTAAGCATATACTCTTACTAGATTATAAACAAATGGTTTTCTTCATATTGACTTGTGGCACAGCAGTGCAAATCAACTCAAAACATATACAACCTAAGCAGTTATTCTCAAACGATTTAAACTAATCTCTTCCCAAGGCTTGCAGAGAGCACACAGAATGCTCCTAAGCCATTCATCTATTAAGTGGTGGCAATGAAGCCATTATCAAACTTTGGAAGGCAACCTTTTCTCACTCCCAAGACACTTACTATTTTCAAAAATAAACAAAATATCCACAGACTACAGAGAAACTAAGCATTGCTATTACAGCATATTCATGGCAAAATACTGGATTCTGAAAGTATGGCAAGGTGATGGTTGTCAGTTGGTTTTCTGACACCAGTCTGAAACAAATATTAGCCATTCACTTCAAGGTGAGAATTCCCATATCTGGCATGTAATTAAGGTTTTCAAGAAGAAAAAAGGATGGTGATAGCCTGTTTTTTTTCCCACAGTGTCTCACATCGAGACCTAAAAAGCATGTGGGTTTTTTTTTTCTTTGTTTTATCTGCATCACAACCGCATGTTGCTTAACATAAAAAGTTCCTTGCCTTTTGTTTTCGACAAAAATTAAACTCCCTAATAACAATGAAAATAATAAAACACCGAAACAAAGAAACTCAAACAGAGGGATGATAACTCTCAACACTTCCAGTGCAAGCTTCCCGTGAGCCCCTCACATCTGCCTGTGGCTCTGTCATCCCTCTGCTCTCAATAGGGGAGAGACAAGCAAGGGATTTCCCCCCCCCCAACATCCCCGCATAGTCTCTCCCTCACCATTGACACCTTTTTTGCCTCACATATCAGAGTCCGAGAGGTGGCTGAAGATAGGCAGACGGCGGCTGGGTTGCACGTTGGGAGAGTCGGTGCGATTGAAGCTGCCGAAGCTGGAGGAGCAATTCAGAAGGTTGTCAAAGCTGTGGGTGCCCAACAGGGAATCCAGGTTGCTGGTGAGCACATCGAACTCTAGCGACTCCGACTGGGCGCCTGGCAACTGGAGGTTGAAGGGCTGCGCGGAACCTTCAGCAACCTTGGCATTAGCGATGGTGGCAGAGCCGGTGTGAGCACCTGCGGTTTCAGCAGGGACAGCTGTAACTGCTGCGGCGGTGGTGCCAGGGCTGACAAAGGTGCCAGCGGTAGCCCCCGGAGCAATGGCAGCGGTGGCCATGGGGGTGACAGCGTTTGGAGCTGAGGCGGTGGCTGGAGGGTGGACCATGGGCAGCTGGAATTGCCCGGGAGCCGCCTGGCTCTGCTGCTGGTTGTGATAGTAGGCAACGGCATTCCCTGCGGCCAAGTTTTGGCCCTGGAATGGCATAGGTGCCCTGTAGCCAGCACCCATCCCCTGACCGAAGACCAGGGTACTATTGGCACAGGTGGTGCACGGGACACCGCCATTGCGGTAGAACACAGCAGCTGCAGAAGCAGCTGCAGAAGCTGCAGCCACAGCGGCACAGCATGTCGAGGGGGCTGTGGCCCCAGGGTATGATGAAGACAGATGCATACCTGAGTTCACCTTCGGTTGGTTCACCAGCACAGGTGCCTCAAGACGGTGGCCGTGGCCCATTGGTAAGCCGGAAGCGCTGGCAGAGCTGACAGTCTGCAGCCTTGGCTTTGGCTCCTGGTTGAAGCCCAGGGGCCCCGCATCACAACCATTGTTGGAGCTCTGCTCCGCAGACGTGCTCCCGGAAAGCACAGCTTGGTAAGTTTGCTGGTTGTGGATGAAGTGGCAGCGAGTGCCATAGGGGCAAAAGCCAATGCTGTGGAAGGTGCGACAAGGCTCAGTCTTATATTTGGGGTGCCTCGACAGGGTACGCAGCTCCCGGGAACCATGCGCGAACTGGCATTTGTTTCCATACCTGCAAATGCCGCTTTCCTCGAAGGGCCGGCACAGCTCAGTCTTGTAGCGCTCCGAAGTGACGGTGGAGCTGGAGCTACTCGCCTTTTGCTGCTGAAGCGGCCTCTGCTGCAGGCTATGCTGGCGGTTCTCCGGGTGGAACTGCCGTGCCGCGTAAGCACCGGAGGGCTCCCGGGGACCAGCCTGGGAGAACGAGCCGGTCGCTCCCAACTGGCCATTACCGCAGTTGTTAGCGCCTCTCCCGGAGCCAGAGAGGCCTCGGGTGTAGTTGAAGGCTCTCGGAGCCAGGTGTTCCCGCACCTGGGGGTTGCTGCCTGACGATGGTGGGGTGAAGCCAGGCGCATAGCTGGGACTGGAAGCAGCTGCCCCACTGGTGCTGAGTGTGCCATTCAGGTTGGGGTTAGTCAGAGACATCCCGTTCCTGCGCTTGAAGTCTCTGCGGTGGAAGGTCCACAGAAGTGTTGACATTTTCTGGGCCCTTTAAACTCCAGAACTCCAAGCAAGGAGGACCGGAGAAATCTTCGTGGCTGAACCAGCGAACACGAGGAGATAAGGGCGAGGAGGAGGGACAGGGAGGAGCCAAAAGTTGTTCGTGTCCGGCGAGAGCCAATCAAAGAAGGGAGCAGTGAGGGCCTGGCGTAAGATGTGCAGGTGCGCCACCAAGTGGAAGATAATGAGGAATTTTGCGGGTTGCTCAGTACTCTGTGGAGAGACGCACGCCCCCTGAGGCGCTCAAACTGCAGGAATAAGCTAGCCAAAGCCACGCCCAGACCTAGAGGCGCTGCTGAAGTCCTCGTGACAGAGGGCGGGCACTGTTCTAATTTCTCAGCCTAACAAGTTGCCTTTGGCCTACGGCCTACTAATATTTGAGCAACACAACGAAAGACTCCAAATAATCCCACAACTCCCATCTTTTTGTAAAGCGCCCTCGCTACCCCTCCCCCTTAACCTCCTTCCTTCCTGGTTCAAGCCAGTACAGACTTGCAGCCAAGCTGAAGACTGGAACCCACACCGTGGAAGGAGAACCGATTTCCTCCATTTGTTCTGACTGCATATGTGTGTCACGGCATATGTGACAATCCGCCACCACCCACGCCCTAACACGGCATGTGTGACAATACGCCACCACCCACGCCCTAACACACAAATTAATTTAAAAAAATTTTTTAGACATTTTTGTTGTATGCCTTCAAGGTGGAATTATGGTCGTCGCAATGGTTTAGTGGGTAAAGGGGCTTGCCACTCAACCTGACCACCTGATTTTGAGTTCAAAACCCACACAGTGGAAATTAAGAACTGATTTCTGAAAGTTGTCCTCTGACCTCCCCATGAACATGCCCTTGTGTCCACATATAAACAGAGTATAAATAAATAAATAAACAAATAAAATAAATAAATAAATAAAGTCATATCGGGTTATATTTTTCAGCACGGTAAAATTAGGCAGATGGCTGAACCGGTAAAAAAGATACTTACCGAAATCTGATGACCTGACCTGAAACCCCTGAACCCATGTGGTAGAAGGAGAACCGGTTCTCATAAGTTCTCTTTTGACTGCCAGACCATTGCATTGGCATGTTCCCCCCACCAACAAAAAATTCAAGTTATTTTTCTGTTCTACACATTCAAGGTGGTATAATGTACACATTCAAGGGTTATCAAGATGGCTCCGTTTCTGTGAGTTACAGAACACGACAAGTGCACACAGAGAAACCCTGTGTTGTCCTTTTGCAGTAGCTGTCGCCAATGAAACAGGAACACAAGACTCAACACAACCAGGTGGAGCTTACTGATGGAGGGAAAAGAGGGTAGCTGGTGGCCAACTGAAAGCGGAGAGAGAGGGGGGTGAAGAGGGAGATGGAGAGGGAACAGCCAGAAAGAAAGCTAGGAGCAAAGGGAGAAAGAAATCTGGAACATGTCTCATTAATTTGAATGTCTAAAATCACTTTTCTGCAATCACTTAAGCCTTTTTCTCATCAGACCTTCATAACTTGAATTCATATACCTTACTTAATCATCTTAGACCCTTCCATCCTCAGAATGACATGCCTTCCCAGGGTAAACCTTGCCTTTCTTGTCACTGGCAGCTTTAAGTTTACTCTGTATCTTTAAATGTCCTGTCTGTTTGCTACAACGTAAAAATCAGAGATCATACTCTGGTTCTCTTATTTTTAGTCCTGTTTGATATATCTCTGTACATGTGTACATGCGATTTAAATTTAACTTTATATGTATATGTAAGCTAACTCTATACACAACTTAAATTCAACTGTACTAAGTTTCAAATATTTCTAAACTGTTATGCATCTTTAAATCATGGTAAACATTTTAAAGTTATAAAGGTCTGTTTCAAATTAACAAAATATTTATGCCACCCAGTCCTTCCTGTAAGCTGTTTATAAAGGTTAAGCTTCTATTACAAAAGGGGGCTTTTTCTCTAGTTAGATCTTTGTCCTTTATAGGTGTAAATCCAACCTACTAAGTTAAAGCCAGTTACAGTCAGGTAGGAAGGCTGAGTAAAAATACATCCCTTAACAGACTCTCAGCTTCAATCCACTTCTCCAGACAGAACCTGTACTAATGTCATCGTAGCCCTACTAAGCACAGATTAATTAATTACAGAGATTAAAGCTTTACCTAGCCACCTATGTGCTTAAGGCAAGTAACTAAAGACAAATTTTGTCTGCTGAGATATACTAAACAGACGGATAGCCCTCAAGTGCTCAGAGATCTAGAGAATATGGCACTTAAAATGTTTTATTAAAAAGCATTTGACTGACTCACGCCCCCTGAACATGGGTCTCAGTTAGAGGCCTGGGCAGTCTAAAGGACCTCTGACAGTGGAGCCAGGATGAATCCCTGGTGCACAAAAGGACTTAGGGAGCACATTCCCCATGAAGGGATACTGCCTTAATCTAGAGACAGGAGGGAGGGCCTAGTCCCTACTCCAAATGACTTGACAGATTCAGATGACCCCTCCTGGAAAGCATCACCCTAGGTATGGAGTGGGGGGGATGGGAGCGGAGGGTGGTCAAGGGAGAAGGGAAGGAGGGAGTAGGGGAGGGAGGGTGAGGGAACTGGGATCGATATGTAAAATAGAAAAATAAATTAAAAAAATAATTTTAAAAAAGGTTTTATAACAGAGAGACAGGCCAGCTGTTGGCACCACCGATTTCCTCCAAGAAGACTGGTGGACACTGAAGAAAATCCACCCACAAAAGTGGCAACGCTAGCAACTGAGCAATCCTGCCTTTAATCTCAGCTACTGCAAAGGACTATAAGGACCATGCACAAGAGGGCAGTGGAATTGACTTTCTCCACGTTGCTTGGGCCAAGTCTTCCAAAAGCTCCTAATCCACAGGTCTCACACCATCAGCAGAAGGCAGACGTCCTTAAAGCCTCTGACCTCAACAACTGTGGAGGACCCCGGGGGTGGCTGTCCATGCTGCCAGCTAGTAACTCTCTGTGACTCTCTAATCGTTAATTCAGGTAAAATTTTATCCTTCTCAAGAACTCTGATGCTTTTGACGACTGGTAGCTTTGTTAGCTTAAAGCCGCAGCCAAGCCTTCCACTGTTACAAAACAGAATTCAGGAATAGGTGTTTTAAGGATTATCTATGTGAAAAATAGGAAAGTATAAGATGTTCTCTTTCTCTCTCTCCTGCTATCCTGCTTTCAGTTGGCCAACAGCTACCCTCCTTCTTTTCCCTCCACCAATAAGCTCTACCTGGGTTCATGTTTCATCGATAACAGCTATAGCAAAAGAACAACACTTGTCTAGGAAAAACAAAAACGAACAAACAAAAACTCAAAAAAAAAAAAAAAAAAAAAAAAAAGGCTTTTTGGTTTTTGCTGCCAAGCCCAACGACTTTAGTTTGTTCCCCAATATCCAAAGGGTGGAGGTAGAGAATCAACCTCTGCATGTTGTTCTCTGACTGACCTCCACCCGTGTACACAGTGCCATGAGAACACATACACAATAAACAGAAGCCATTTGAATTTTTAAGCCATTTTCTTTTGTATGCATTCAAGATGGTGAAGTTAGGGTTGGCAAGAAGGCTCAGCAATAAGAATCTTGTTTGTTTGCTTTGTTTTGTTTTTCTAGACAGAGTTTCTCTGTATTGCTTTGGAGCCTGTCCTGGAGCTGGCTCTGCAGACCGGGCTGGCATGGCTGGCCTCGACCTCACAGAGATCTGCCTGCCTCTGTAAAAGGCTCGTGTTCCTTGCCCAACAAGGGAAGTTCAAGCTCTGAACTCACGTGGAGGAAAAGGAGGATGATTGCATCATTGTTCTCCCACACACACAGTAAACAAACTAATATATAACTTGTAATAATAAAGGCAGAGTTTGGGCTACATGCACTCAACAAGGTAAGATTAAGGTTGACTAAATGATTCAATGGCTATCTGCCACCAAACCGATAACCTGAGCTTGAACCCTGGCTATTTTATGTTTTATTACAAAAACTTTTCCTGGGGAGACAAAACAAGGTCATCTATTCACCCCAGATAAAGAGCCCTAGACAGACTAAACTACAGATATACCATACCCAAAGTCCAATTTGGTGAGCCAATGGTTTTATTGGGGTTACTTACAGGAATATAGGTAAGGGATCACTTACAGGAGCAGTCAGCTGCATCGCCAAAGTCCACCCCAGCCCAGGTAATAGCTCACAAAGCTGGGAACGCTCACTGCACGGCCTGCAGGCAGCTCAACAGGTTGCAGAGAGCCATTTCCAAGCACCTCCGTTGGTGGAAACGTCTTCCAGGTAAAGAAGTTCCAGCTCGGATAGTTTCTACTTCTTCCAGGCAGCTGGTCTGGGCTCCTCTGAGAGTCTTCTTTGCAGAGCAGCTTCTTTTCATCTGAAAGGACTCAGCCTTTATCCTTTACTCTGGCAAGGAGGAGCTTAGAGAATGTGGTCAGTTTGGGGGACTTCTTACAACTACTTTGAGTTGTTTACCTCCCTGCTTAAGGGGCTTCCTGAAGCCCTTTTGAGTTGTTTACCTTCCTGCTTAGGGAGCTTCCTGCTGAGTGGAATGTTTCAATCCTCTTAGAAAACTCTTATACAACACTATTTTAAGGGCTTCTGCAGTTTTATTAGTTATAATTTCAACAATAGCCTGTATCCTGGTAATATGGTTTAACATATACATGTGAACAGGGTACCCTCAGGGTACCCATCCTCTGCTGGTAGCTGGACTATAATAATGGATTTTTCACTCAGCCATCCATCATCTTTCTAGTTGACAATTTGTAAGGCATGTCATTTAGTTTGTGTCTCCTAGTCTCTTAATACTTAAAGATTCCCAAATGGCCCCCTTTGGTAAATTGGAGCAGGAAGAAAGGTGTACTGATAGACCCCCCAACACATGATTCTGGTCAGTTCTGGGGAAGTATAATGTAGGCTGTAATATCCAGTATAGTTCACCTACAGCCTGCCATTTGGTATCTGCATTGACATTGCTCCAGGCTTATCGGAGATGAGAAAAACTGGACAATAGTTGAACAATTGGCTCAAAGAGGTATGGTGATCCACACCATTGGATTTTCTAGGTGGCATGCCAGGCTTTCAAAAGAAGTGATAAATTATATTTCCACAGGGAAGACAGTTTTTCCCAATAATTAAAGTTTTGCTTTGAGCTGGGTGGTGGTACACATTGACACAAGCATTTAGTCCCAGCGTTCAGAGGAGGCAGAGACAGGCAGATCTCTGTGAGTTCCAGGACAACCTGGTCTACAGAGCTACACAGAGTAACCCTGACCTTGAAAAAACAAAACAAAATAAAAACAAAAAGAAACCAGCCAAACCAAAAAAAAAATCATTTTGTTTTGTTTGGTGAGACAGGGTCTCATTATGTACCTCTGGATGGCCTTTAACTCCCTGTGTAGACCAGACTGGCCTCAAACACACAGAGGTCTCTGCCTCTGGGGTGATAGGCTTAAAGGCATGTGCCACCACACTCACCTCCAATAATTGAAGTTTTAAGGAGCCAAACCCTGGTAGCAGGATTGGAGTATCCTGTCTCGGTATAAGGCCACTGATCTTCCATATTAGTTTACTCAGACACATGGCAAGAAAGAGGCCTTTACAAACTGGCTATAGTCTCTGTCGGGACCAAAAGCACTTTCTTATTATTGTAGGGATAGGAAGTAGCTACCTTTTCTTTCCTCTTAAAAAGAATGGAGGGCCTGGGTTTGGATTTATGGATGATAGAATCTCTTGAAATATAACACCATTCCTATATTCCATGCTCTGCTCCAATCCGTCAGTCAGTTTTCTATCAGGGGTTTCTTGGGTTAGGGATACTGAAATTAACAAGGTTACTAGGTCCCTAGTTGACAGTATGATGCAGCTGGCCCCTTTTGTACTTTCCCTCCCAGGTGGGTCATGAGATGTACCCAATAAGGACAGTGAAAATGGGCATTAGGGGGTGCATCTGTCCTGAATTCTGGGCTGTGAAACATACAATTATCATTTAGCCTGTATTTCCACTCCCACATAGTCCTCCCAATGGCTCAACAAAGTTGATCAGCTGTAAACTATGGTTGCATGCACACATAAAAAGTATTTGCACTTGTTTTTCTAGGTTGTATTTTTCAGATCATTTGTCCCTTGGCCTGGGGAATGTCTCTGAACCACCAATCATTCTTCGTTGGAGAGTACTGTGGATCAAAACATGTATAGTGTCTCCCATATTGGCAGATGGAATAAGTGACTTTGTTATGCTCACAGGTTCCATGGACATTTCCTTGGTATGAGAAATGGATATGATAAATAAACCAGTGGCCAAGTAAGTCCTTGGCCCACGTGAATTAGGTAAATACAGCAGATCACAGAGTGGCCTGGACCCTCAAAGCAGGGCCAGATCAGTAGTAACTAGTAGTAGCTCTGCATCCTATCCACAGATAGTAAAAAAGTGCAAATAGAAACTTCACAACAGGTCCAGTAGCTGCCAATTTACTCCAGACTGGGTATCAGTGATAGAAGAGTTCTGTTTATCCTTGTGAAGCAATGATTTTCTTGAGTTTTTTTTTTTCCTTTTCCTTTTCAAATTTTGCATACCAACCACAATGTTCCCTCCTCCTTTTCCTTCCCCCTCCTTCCTACTACCCCATCCCCTCCTCCTCCATCTCCATTTCCATTCAGATGGGGTAAGACCTCCCATGGGGAGTCAACAAAACATGGAATATCAAGTCTAGGTAGAACCAAGCTCCTGCCCTCTACATCAAGGCTGAACAAGGTATCCCACCATAGGAAGTAGGTTCCAAAGAGCCAGCTCAAGCATCAGGGACAGGTCCTGTCCCACTGCAAGGGGCCCCAGAAAACGCCAAGCTACACCACTGTCACCCAGATGCAGAGGGCCTAGGTTTGTCCCATGCCTGCTCCCTAGCTGTCTGAGTCTCTGAGCTCCCACAAGTTCAGGTCAGTTGTCTCTGTGGGTTTCCAGTCATGATCTTGACCCCCACCCCCACCCCACCTGCCTTGTTCATATAATCCCTCCTCCCTCTCTTTGGCAGGACTCCAGAAGCTCAGCCCAGTGCTTGTCTGTGGATCTTTGCATCTGCCTCCATCAGGTACTGGATGTAGGTTCTATGATGACAATTAGGGTAGTCACCAATCTGATTACAGAGGAAGGTCAGTTCAGACACCCTCTCCACTACTGCTAGGAGTCTTAGCTGGAGTCTTGTGGGTTTCTGGGAGTTTCCCTAGCACCAGGTTTCTAATTTCATATTGAGTCCCTCTATCAATATATCTCCTTCATTACTCTCCCACTCAGACCTGCCCCCTTCTCAATCATCTTGACCCTTTATGTTGCCATCCCCCATGCCCTCCCCTCTTACAGGAACAGGGTGACTAAAAATGCAGCTGCCTCATAGATAAGCCCACCACAGCATGAGTGCTGCCTCACAAAAGCTATGTCCCCAGGAGCTTTCTTCTCAAACTGCAGGCAGCTCCACTGAACAGATAATCTCTTCAGCTGGCAATTGTTTACTTTTCTAACCTTTGGGAGGCCTCTGCAAACCTTGTATATCTCTGAGCTTCCCAAAACTTGTAAGTTTTATTTAGTTCTGAGTTGTTGGATCCTCCATCTTCCCTACAGGAGGGAATATTTCAGTTCTAAGGAGACAGCTACATAACACTAAAAGAAGCCATTTACTTCTTACCTTAGTCATTGTTTTCCAAAATAACACAGAGATGTTTATTAACCCATTCATTATTGTCATATATTTACTATATGTATTTATTTTGTTGTTTACATATTTATGATTTATTTTTCCTTCAATCAAGAAATTTCCAAGTCTATGTCCACATTCTCTCTTTAAAAACTACTTCTTGGCAGTTGAGTTGACATTTTCTTAATCCAATATTGGCCATCCTAGAACTTTCACCTGCATGGTGTAATTAACAGTAAAGTTTGAATAACATAAATTTCTATCAGCTAGGGCTTTGTCTGAAGAAATCTTGTGAATACTGAAACAAGTGGATGTATGTATGCCAAAGGACAAAGATAGACATCCATTATTGTGAGAAGAAAAGCAAGTTTGTAGCTTGTAGTTCATGTCATAAATTAGGGTATTGTTTTTTATAAAAACTGGCAAGACTTTTACTGCTCATTAAAAATACTTCCGTAGGAGGGAGTTGTCTTACTGGATAAAGTTTTCACTGCACAAGCATGAGGACCTGAGTAAATGAGAAGTGTTCTAGCACTTATCTGTAATCTTGAGCCCTGGAGGAATGGAGATAGACAGATACCAGGGTTTGCTCGAGTGCCAGCGTAACTGAAATGACCAGGTTCATCAAGAAACCCTAGCTCAAAGAAATAAGATGGATAGCAGTAGAGGAAAACACTTGATGTCTTATTGTAAATGATTAATTCCCTCAAGTTAATTTTAGAAAAATAATAAGTTTGAGTGATTTCAATGAAATGTTTAAATACTCATTATTTGGAAAAACAAATTTCACTCCTTTTTATGTATAATTATGAATATTTTAAATGAGAAATAAAAATTAATATATGTGAAGTATTCTTAATCATTAAGTATAGGTGACATCTACCTGGAGGTAAAAGCCAATATTTATAAATTTTGCCAGTTTTGTTAGTTATGTTAGCAGTTTAGTTTGTTCCAAAACACAAATGTACATTCTTTTAATGAATTATATAAGTAAACAAATATTTTCATTTCTCAGAGCAGGTTGTGTTAAGTTAGTTAATACATAGTGTTTATAAGATAGATTTTGTGGTTTTCCCTTTAAAACAATGTAAGCCAGGTATGTTGGCACATACCTCTCACAGCAACTACATGGAACACTGAGATTACCTTGAGCCTAGACATTGTAGACCCTTCTGGATAACACACAAATAGTAAGTGCCTATCTCAAATTCAAATCACATCAAACCAATGCAAACTTCTATACTTGTATCACATACCTTTGGGAACTGATAAAACACTGATGCCAATATATAAATTTAAATTATCTTTATTGATAAAAATTAGTTAACAGTATTAGAAGGAAAAAACTCACTACAATAATGTATAGAAGTTTTTGGTACAAAGAAGTATTTGCTACTTCATAGTCATTTAGACTTTATATGAAGAGGCTCTTGCACTTAAACAAGTTAGCAACTAACAATTAAATATTAAACTATTTCTACTCTAAAGACATACCACCTAACTAACATTGTAATTATATCTCATCACTCAGATTCAAGTCCTTTCTAAAAGAATCATCAGAATAAGAAGAACTGAAGAGTCAAACATCTACAATCACTCCCTGCTGCTGGTCTCATGGAAAGAGACAGAACTACCTCATTTTTAGTTTATAGTTACCCATGTTTCCATTAGTCTGAAGTTTTACAAGGTAAAGAGTACTTTAGAGTATGCCTTGTGAGGTTTTTTTGAAACGTTGAAATTTCTTTTTTAAGTTCACCTTCTACATTAGTAAGCTGAAGATAGCTGCTCGTCTCCAAGTTCTCCAAATTCTGAAACAGAAAGGCACTTTTTACTAAACAAATCTCAAGGATATAAAGATGAAAGAAAGACTGCAGAAGTGACATACAGCCTTATTATGCTTGGTTAAACAGAGTAACTAAAGTATTAATAACCTAGGAAGTACAAGTGAGGATGAATTCCCAATTTACCATTTCATGTCTTGAATAATCACTACAAACCATTAGGATTCTATACACATATCAATCACTTCAGTCAGAAATAATTCAAAATTGTAAGTAATTAAAACTTTATGATTCATAAAACATACAAACATACATAGTTTTATAAGAAAATATGTAGTATGTGCAACATACCTCCATGAACTTTTCATGTAATTGTCTAATTGCTTGCAGTGACTGGTTCTGATCACTTTTAGAGAGTTTAAAAGTTTTTTGTTTTTTTTTAAAATTATTCTACAAATATAAAAGGAAAGCATTACCATAACAATTTGGTTTAATTTTTGCTTTTATTTTGTGCAACATGAATGCTAGGCTAACAACCCCTTATGTATTTCCAATCCTAAAATTTTTAAGTGAGCAAAAATAATTCCATATAAAACTTGAAAAGAATAGATTTTCTACTAATTTAACTGTAAATGAAACCTAGCTTATTTCCATGAATCTAATCAAGGTTAGCTTCTCCATTCCTACTTGATACTTATACTAGGTTAATTATAAAGTTAATTATGATACCAACAGCTAATTTTTCTTCTACTTGATACTTATACTAGGTTAATTATAAAGTTAATTAGGATACCAACAGCTAATTTTTCTTCTACTTGATACTTATACTAGGTTAATTATAAAGTTAATTAGGATACCAACAGCTAATTTTTCTTCTAATTGATACTTATACTATGTTAATTATAAAGTTAATTGTGATACCAACAGCTAATTTTTCTTGTTCTTCATCTAATTTCTGTATATCCATATCCCACTGCTGAAATGTAGTCATATACTGCTTAGAAAATTCGCTGTTAATCTTCTTCCTGTAAAACAAAATAATGAAAGCAGTCACATTCATACCAGTTTGAAAAGAACACTCAAAACAAATTGGCCATTTCATACCATAAAAAGAAGGAAAAACAGCAGTGTGACAATTAGCTAATGGGAATCCATTATTTTTTTCTAGCAGATTAAGAGAAGTCTTCTCTCATGATTTACCTCTTCAAAAGTCAAGAAAGTTTTAATATATATTGTATTTCCAAGTAGTTTAATTTTTCATGACTTCCTACCAAATATAGGGTCTAATTTATTTTTCCTATTTTGGCACAGTTAAGACTCAGTTCAAGACTTGTCAGTTAAAACATATGAATTATATGCATGTATAATTGATCCCTTTCTACACTGTCAAACATATTTGACCATAAGTTGATTTTTCAAATCTTTTAGAAGACTTCTATATTTCCAGAATGAATTTAAATCAACTTTTAAAATCTCCATCAAGTCATTTAAAAGAAGAAAATGAAATTTTTACTGATGTCTAAGAATTATATCTACTTTCCATGAAGAAATGAAGTTATAGGGTTACCTGCTTAAATAAAATTAAAGCCACATATTTTAACCCAAAGCTCAAAAGTTGATTGTCTTTTTATACTTACTTTTCACCAATACACATTTTTAAAAATGGTACAAATGTAGTCCTATAAAATTATCAACCCTACCTTTCCCGTGCTTTCATTTTCCAAATTTGTTTAACTTTCCGGTTACTGCCTTTGATACAATCTTTGACATAAGTTTCCATGTGTTTTCTCTTCATAGAAAGAGCCTTATTAATGTCACCTATATTGAAAATAAAATTTCATATTGAAAAAACTTCAGTTGTTCCCATGTATGCAAATAAATATAAAGTTCATTTAATAATACCAAGGAAATTTAAAATTGAATTAAAATATATCAACAACATTGTATACTAAATGTTTCATACTTTAGGAAACTTAGAGTTTTATATTTTCAGATAAAGGATGCTCAACTGGTAAAGTCTATGCAAATGTTCCAAAATACAGAAAACTCCACTTCCATATATTTTGGATAAGACATGTCCAACCTTTTTCCAATTTTGATTTCCCTAAATGGAGATAATTTTAAAATTCAGGAACAGTTTTCAAAAGAACAAATACAAAAAAACAAAGGATCAAGGATAGACTTTTAATTTCTCATGAGGAAACACTTTAATAAAGACTACTTTATTTTTCTAAATGTATATAATACTATGCAACTGAAAGAATACATTTTGTCGTGGAATTGTTAGAACTCATTATTTTAATTATTGTACTAAAAACAAGAGGCCAGCCAGGTATGGTGGCACACACTGTTAATTCCAGCACTTGGGAGACAGAGGCAGGCACACCTCTGAGGGTTTAAGATCAGCCTGGTCTACATAGTGAGTTCCAGAACAACCAGAGCTACATAGTGAGACCTTGTCTCAAAAATAACAACAACAAAATCTAATCCCAATAAACAAACAAACCAACGCCCCTCCAAAAAATACATAAACCTACAAAAAATAAAACAAAACACTACCTCAAGGCAGGGGAGACAAGAAGGCAGCTAGAGAAAGGCATCAGTGTTTAAGAGTGGCTACTGTTTCACAGGACCTGCCTGGGTTTGATCCTAGCACCTACAGGATATTCACAACCATCTCCAACTCTAATTTCAATGGATCTGATGCCTTGTTCCAAACTTTCAGGTATCAGGTACTTATGTATGTGGCACACAGACATACCTGTATGCAAAGCACCCATACTTGTAAAAATAGATTAAAATACTGTTTTATAATCAAAGAATCCCCAAAGTGTACTTAAATGTAGTAAGAAAATTATTTCTAAAAAGCATAGTAAATAATTATACTTCAGAATCTATCTTTTATTTATTTATTTTGGTTTTTTTGAGACAGGGTTTCGCTGTATTGTTTTGGAGCCTGTCCTAGAACTCTCTCTATAGACCAGGCTGGCCTTGAATTCACTGACATCTGCTTGCCTTTGCCTCCTGAGTGCTGGGATTAAAGACATGCACCACTGCTGGCTGGCTCAAAATCTCTATTTTACAAACACAAAATAGAAAAAAAAATGTAGTTTGCATAAGTATCATGGTATTAATTAAAGAGTTTAAAATGTTTTTGTAGGACATTTTCATCAGTAAGTATAGCAAGTCATAAAAATGCTGATACCTCAGAAAATGTTTAATACTTACCTAGCATACATAATTAGCTTTCAGGAAGTAGGATGAAGTTGTATTATGGTGCATACATTTAATATTTTCAACATATATAATATTATATAATGTAGATTACAAATGAGTACTTTACCACCCCCAATAGTGCAATTCTTTCAATTATCAAAAAGATTTCATGACATGGGTCATCTCTATAAATGGGCCAAACAATAATTAAAAACACCCCCCCACACACACCCCGCAGATTCAGGAGCTGGAGCTCAGCAGTTAAAAAGCACTTGCTGCTCTTGCAAAAGACCTGGGTTTGGTTCCCAACACTCACATAGCGGCTCACTGGTGACTTCAGTTCCAAGGGATCTGACCTTTGGCACACATGTGGTACACATGCAAACAAATATGCAAAACTCCAATACACACAAAATAAATAAATCTAGAAAAGTTTATGTAACTGTCACTTAACATATAAATTCTCTCACTGGCTAGTAAAATTGTTTTTCATTTTCAATTACATAATATATTTTATAAAAAATACTAAATAAGGGGATTAGAGATCTGATTCAGCATCTAAGAACACTAGCTGCTGTTCAAGAGGATGGGAGTTGGATTTCCAGCACCTATGAGTTGGCTTACAACCTGTAGCTATAGTTCCAGGGGATATCTTTTTCTGGCCTCCTTGGGTACCAGACACACAAGTAGTACACATCACCCATGCAGTCAAATCACCCATATACATAAAATACGATTTAAAAATAATAATGAAGGGTTAGAGGATTCAGTTTTATACTGTTCCTCATAAAGAAACAACCACAGAAGAGTCCTAGAAAATAAACTGAGTTAATAGAAAACTAACAAAGTCAATGAAAAATTGTTATGTGTATAGAAATTTATGTACATAGCACTTAATGAATACATGGAACTGTAAAAATGTTTGCATCTATTTTTTCCTTCTGAAATCACTTCAAAGCAGTTAGGAAGATGGCTAATTAAGTATGAAGGCTTGCGGTGCAAGGATAGGGACCTGCGTTTGAATCCAGCACCCATGAAAAAAGGCAACCATGGATGCTTGCTCCTGTAATTGGAGCACTGTGGTAGGCAGAGAGGGGATTGCTAAGACTTATTGGCTGTCAGTCTAGCTCCAGGTTTACAGAGATATCCCATCTAAAGGGAATAAGGTGGAAAGTAATAGAATCGACACTAAAATCGTCCTCTAGCCTCCACATGTATACATGGGTACATTACACCATACAAATAAACATATAAAAATAAAAACAAAATTTTACTAATGTCACATGCACCATTTTCACTTTGTGTACCACAGGGGGGGAAAAAATCCATGATGCTAAAGTGAAAGTACTTACAAAATTCTATATGGGAACAAAACATTAAAAACAGTCATATACTATGTTGACTACTATTATATAAATTCTGTAAATACTATATAGTTTTAAATAAATTATATATCTAAAAACTCACCTCCAAATTTTTCCAGAATATTCTGCACTTGAGCTCTGTGAAGAAATGAAATTTTTTAAAAAATGTAGGTTGTTGGGGATACAGTTCAATGCAACAACTTTTGTCATATATACATGAAGATGATGGTTTGATCCCCAGCACTATCCCCTTCCAAAAACCATTCAAATTACGAATTCATATTTTGTAATTCTTATTTTCAAATATACATCATATTCCAAGTATTTACATAGATTACTTGTTAGACAATCAATTAAACTTATCTGGAAGTACTTAATTAAACAGGAAATAATAATTTCAAACGTATTACCCTGTATCTTCAACTATTTCTTCAGATTTTGACTTCTCTTGATTATCAGTTACTTGACTCTGTGCTGTGTTGGTAATAAAAACAAGATGTTAAACAAAGGCATATTGCCAACATTAGGTTTTAAATCAGATCTATAATTTCTCTAAAAGTTAGATGAAATCAAGTAATTTATGGTTATTTTAAGAAAACAAGGTTTTAAGCCTTTCTGGGCAAGGTCATACTAAGGTGTGGATTATCTATGTGACTACAGACAAGAAACTGAGTTTTTAAATCTGTGATACAAGCTTAAGAAGATCAAGTGAGAAATAAAGCTTAGCAAAGTTTTACTCAGTTTAAAATGTAGCGAGTTCCAGTCACTGACTGGCCATTCCCACAAATTCATACTATGAGAGGGAGTTCACCCCTAAGGATGAAGACCCAGAGACAGGATAGCCCAAAGACCTAGGACAGAATCAAACATGACTAGAAAAAAAATCAAGTCAATGAAGTGACTCCTAATGATATTTTTTTTTTCTGCTATACTCATAGATAGGTGCCTAACCCAACTGTCAGAGAGGCTTCACTCAGCCACCAATGGAAACAGATGCAGAGACCCATAGCTAAACATTAAGCGGAGTTTAAGAATCCTGCTGGAGAGGGAGAAAGGATGGTATGAACTAGAAGGGCCAAAGACATCACAAGAAAGCGGCTCTCAGAATCAATGAATGTGAGTTCATAGAGATGCACAGAGCCTGTATAGGACTGACCTAGGTGATCTGCATATGTGTTTTGTTTGTAACTTGGTCTTCTTGTGGCACTCCCAACAGTGAGAGATGGGTCTGTCTCTGGCTCTTTTGCCTGCTTATGGGACCCTTACTCCTATTAGGGTTGCCTCATCCAGACTTAACATGAGGAGACTGTTTTGTTTTAATATGATGTGCCATGTTTGGTTGTTATCCCTGGGAGGGCTGCCCTTTTCTGAAGAGAAGCAAAGGAGGAGTGGATCTGGGGGAGAGGGGATCTGAGGGGGGGGACCTGCAGTCACAATATAAAAACAAACAAATGAAAAAATGGAGTAAGTTTAAAACAGAAGAACTGTAGCATCAATGCCCAACATTAGATATCTGGTACCTTCAAAAATGTCCCTTTGTGAAACATCCCCATCTTGCTCTTCATCGAAGTCATCAGTTATTAAGAAAGGATTCTCCATGCCTTTCCACACAGAAACTTAGGTTTTCTGATTTTAAACACAAAAGAAGTCTCTCAAACCATCTGAATGCAAAAGAATCGCTTAAACTGATAAAATTGAAAATATAAAATATTAAATAAGAATGATTTTTATAAAATTAGCATTTAATAGTTACACAAAAGGTTTAGATGGAAACCCACATTTCTATTACCTTCAGCTTTAAGACTAATGGCTTATTATTTAAATATTTAACAGAATAGCTGGTTTCAGAAATAGCCATCTTAACCATATATACAATTGTTTTTAAAAAGTGATTTTAGTTGAATAAAATGTTTTGGGCTTCTTTATTTTATAAGTCTAAAAGCCAACAACTAGCCATTTGTCAGCTAAAAACTAGTGAAACATAATGATGGCTTCAACTCTGAATCCCAAGTGGATTTACACCTAATTATAGGAAGATCTGCATTTTGATCTCATCTTTGCTAGGTTTTTGGTAAATCTGGGCAAATGTGTCTATGTCAATCTCATAGTAGGTATTATCACAAGCATTTTTTCAAAGCAATGTGGATGTGAAATAGATCTAAAATAAAAAGTTCTGCAGCGCTACACAAAAAGGCTGTAGGTTCAATCCTCAAAAATGCAAAAATAATTAAAAAGAATAAAAATAAAACGGGCGTGATTCCTCAGGCCCCAGTCCGGGCAAGGGACTTCAATTTCAACGGCAGGCTAAGCTGCACAAGAGGTTTCAGGCAAACCTGAGGTTAAACTAAGACCGTACATCCCCCAACCAAAACATCACATGAATAAAAACGGACTCCCCAAGTGTGGTGGCGCACATCTTTAGTCACAGCACGTGGCGGAGCACGTACGTGGAGGACAGCCACGTTCCACAGTGAAACTGGAGTTGAAAAACAAAACAAGTCTCACAAAAAACGAACAAAAAATGACCATAAGCCGTTAAATAAAAGCAGCCTGGACTGAAGTATTGTCTGTAATTCCAGCGCTTCTGAGGCCGAGGGAGGTCAACTACGAGAGGGCGTCAGTTTCTAACGGATTCCCCATGGGCAACGGCACTGCAGAAGGTTCTGGCCCTTCCCACCCACACCTCACCAAGGGGGCTAACTCTCGGGACCTCCAATCCCCGAGGTCTCCCTGCCTTCTGCTAGGCACTAGTCTGGTCAAGGGATTGCCCTCGGCAAAGTTCGACTGCAGTTTTCTACTCAGAGGCCTGAGGGGAAGGTCAAGAGGGAAGAAGGGTACTGCAGGAGTCCAGTGAGGGACGCCTCCCTCGGGAGGGACACTTCCATCCTTGCCCCTCAAGGACCCCAGCGCCCCTCCCCCCCACCGTACTCGGCTGAACCACATGGTTAACAGACTCGCCACAGGTGGCTAATTACCGCCTCACTCACGGGGGCCTCTTCCTCAAGGGTCCGGCTTCGTGGCTGCCTCAAAGCATGTTGGGTAACAACGAGAAAAACGGAGCTCAAGCAATCCCCTTGCTGATTGGCTGTGTGTGCACATGCGCACAAAGGGTGAGAAGTTCTGTCAGTCCTCTGGGGTTTCAGTTATCGTTTAACTGGGCGGAGGAGGTACTGTTCTGGCATCAGTGAGCTAGCACCCATTCAGTAAACTCTAGCACCCATTCTTTCCAGCTTCTAAGTTTACAATAGTTTACGAACCTCAAATTTAAAATAAAGCATGTAAAATACAAAGCCCAATGAAGACCCCCGTACTTTGTTTCAGTTGAAAAGGCTCTTACATGCATCTTTAATTTAAAAAAACTTTTTAAGAGTGTGTTTTCTGCATGTATATATATGTAAGACATACATAACCGGTGCTCTGAGAAAACACAATAGGATGTCAGGTCCCCTGGAATTGAACTTAAGAAAGGTTGTGAGCCACCATGTGAAGTCTAGGATGTGAACCTGGGCACTCTGCAAGAGCAATGAGTGCTTTCTACTTCTGTGCCATGTCTCCAGATCTGTCCCATGCGTGGTTTAATGTGTGCTATAGCATTTCTCCCACTACACGTTTACTTTCACTCTACCGTGTACATTATACAATAATGACATTTCTGCAGTATTGCCTCTCTCCAGAAAAAGAAACAAGAGATCATATATATATATATATATATATATATATATATATATATATATATATGGATTTTTGGGAGGCAGGGTGTTCAAGACAGAGTTTCTCTGTTGTAGCAGCCCTACCTGTCCTAGAACCCGCTCTGTAGAGCAGGCTGACCTCAAAATCACAGACATCCTCCTGCCTCTGCCTTCTGAATGCTGGGATCAAAGGTGTGCACCACCACCACCCGGCTGTACTACCATATTTTTATTGGAGTTGCCTTAATCTTAAAAATTGATTTAAGAAAAATGACAGGCCAAGGATGCTTAATATCCTGTCAGGGAATAAGTGGCATTTCCCTATTAAGTGAAAAATAAATTTGATTTGTGTAGGTCTACACAAATTCCTGTGTGTACATTCCAGTATATGTGTGCATATGAAGGCCAGAAGTAGACATCATGAGTCTTCTTGCTCATTCCCCAAGTTACATCTTGAGACACAGGGTCTCTCAGTGAACCTGCAGCTCACCAAATCAATTAGCCTGGCTATCCAGCAAGCTTCAGCCTGCCTCTACCTCCTCAGCAATGGGCTGCCAGCCTGGATTTACTTTTATATATACATTTATTTACATTAGAAACAATCTTACCTTACATATCAATCCCTGTTCCCTCTCCCTCCCATCCTCCCACACCTCCCCAATATCTCCCTATCCCATCCCCCTTCTGCTCTCCAGGGAGAGCGAGGCCTTCCATGGGGGATCATCAGTCTGTTATATATCCTTAGGGACAGGACCTGGGCCTTCCCCCCGTGTGTCTACAGCCTGGATTTTTAAAAACTTACTCTCTTTATTTTATTTTATTTTATTTTATTTAAATAACATCTTTTATCCCCATTTATCTTGCATACCGACTCTGGCTTCCCTTCTACACCCCTCCCTTTCCAATTTTCCTCCACCTCCATTCAGTAAGGGCCAGGCCTCTCATGGGCTTGAAGGAACCATCAGCCTGGATCTTAAAGTGGATTCCAGGGCTCCCACTGTAAGTCCCCATGCTTTCAAGGCAAGTGCTTTACCAAAAGAGTCATCTCCCTGAGCCCCTCTCTGGGAGTGTTGTTTTGTTCTTGCTCCCATTGTTTGCTTATACTTCTCTAATCACTCCTAATACTAGGCACCTAAAATGCTTAGGGATGCTTTTGCTTCTGTTTCCTCAAAACAGCTAATCGGCTTTCTTGCCCACTTCACAATTAGGACTTAATTGTGTGGACTGGACAGATCAAGTTTTCATCTGCTGGCTTTTTTAATGATTGTTTTCACCACTGAAGATCAAACCCGTGGTTTTTACACTGCACTCTACCACTGAGCTATATCACCGGCCAATTTCTTAGTTCTGTATGCTGGGTCAGTATTCACCTCTATGTGTTTTAAAGCAAACTACCATTACTGTGAGTCATAAAATTATTACCCTATACTATAAAGCCTAAAGGGATTTGGTGCCCTCTTCTGGCCTCTTTGGAAGATAACAGGCACACATTTGGGTCCATGCAAATACATGCAGGCAAAACACCAATATACATAAAATATAATTGTAAAAATTTAAAGTAAAAGGGTTTGCTTTTTATTTTTGTCTTTATTCATGTTGACTTAATTTTTTTGTGTTACCAGACAAAAATCCAATCATTTTTTGCCTTCATATAGAAACTTATGTCCCATCATACTCTACTGTATTTTCTCCTTTTAAAAGCTCTGACACATGCCAATGTTCCATATGTTCATTTTATGTTAAGGAACATTTGGAATACAATAATTGTGTATGCTTATTATATGCAAGATGATAATCAGATCCAGGTGTTAAATATGTAGGCATCATATTTAATCAAGGTTATTTTTCTTATATTTTGGATTTATGTTACATCCTTGTCCCAGTGACCAATTTCCCTGGGAGAGCTGACCCAGCACTTAAGAGAGATGGACCCACCCCTCACCTGAGGTGTGCGAGAGCTGGCCATAATGGCACAGGCCTAGGAGAACTAGCTCTGCCTCTCTCCTGAGGGAGTGGTCCCAATAGCCCATATTGACCAGCTCAGCTACTACTCACACCCATATCCAGGCCTTACACTGGTCCACCCTAACAGCTGCCCCATTCATGACCTGCCTGAGTGTGTGAAGGGACTGGTCCTGTGGAATGATAACTGTAGATTTTCCATGACTCAGGACATCATCAGAAAAGAGTTTCACTGAGGGCCCACAAAGGCCTTGAACAAGACCAATGACTCATTTCTATTGATCTAAGTGTTTCCAAGTGGTCTTATCTTAGCAGAGAGAGGGTCTGGAATTCTGTTCTCTTGGTCCTATATGTTGACTCCTCCTACATGTCCCTGAATTCTCTTTGTGTCCTAATCCTGCTTATCTTGCTTTTCTATCGGCCAACAGGGCTTTAGTCATTAACCAATATGAGAAACATATTTACAGAATGACATCTCCCATCAATGTACACCGCACCATATTAAGGATTTGAATGGGCAACTGCTTTGAGTTCAGAAAAGGCTAAATCTGTTATTACACATTTATTAGAAGTTACAGCCATAATGGGGCTTACCTCCACAATGCTCCAGCAAATGTCTCTAGTAAAATGAAACTGTAATTCTTACCTGTATGTGTTTGCACATATTCATTGTTCTTATTGTATTATAGTTTTACAATGTTAGTTAGCATGTTTGTCTTTTATTTAGACAAAAAGGGGGAAATGTGTGATATTTTGATTGATTCCAACAACTAAAGCTTGCTTGTAGTCAAAAGGTGGAGCTAGCCACCGATTGACCAAAATTAACCATAGAGATCTGTTAAATGTAGTCCTAGTGAAGGTATAGAGTCTCCCAATTACAATCTGTTAATGGCTCATAATAATTGTCAAACTGGCACAGAGTATAGACAGATAGGAGACAGAAGGCGGTAAAGCAAGGCTGGAAGCGGATCTCGGCCTTTTGGAGAAGGGGCGGTAAAGCAAGGCCTTTTGGAGAAGGGGCGGTAAAGCAAGGCCTTTTGGAGAAGGGAATGGAAAAGGTAGGAGTTGACTGGTGGCTGTTCCCCTGCTTCTCCGATCTTTCAGGTTCTTACCCTGATATCTGACTCCTGTATTTTTATTGATAAAGAATAAATCAATAAGGCTTCACTATCTTCAACATTTTATGTTACAGAAAACCAACACACACACACACACACACACACACACACACACACACACACACTGACCCCGATTCAAACAATGCCACAATGTGGATACTGGTTATGCTTGTCATCAAGCATGATTGGGGCAGGGGAGGTCAATGGTAGAACACAGGATTCTGTCATACCTCCTAAAACAAATCCCTGGCCCTATCAGGAACATGTAGCAAAGAGACCCCTTAGTCCCAAACTGAGTACACCAAGGGCACACCTACAAGCAAGTTTTCCAGAGACCTTCCTATTGGTGCATTCACAATGGGTGGGTGGGGCCAAATGGTCCAGCCCAGTGCCTTTTATTGGCTGCAGCAGTGATGTAGGCACCCCATTGACTCTGATTGGCTGGGCCGGGGAAAGAGGCGGGCTCTCCCAGGAGAGGGAGCAGAGAAGGGCAGCTGCCAACAGCGAGCCAGGTGCCCTGTCCCTGGCTCTCCTGAGGGCCGCTGGTTAGCTGTTTACTACCATCTCACAGAGGCTGGGGAAGATAAACGGGACCACATCCTGAGAGTCAGAAAAGCTGGCCTGTTGATTCATCTCTACGCCTTGGCCAGAGGTGACCACCAGTATGCAGAAACTTCAGCGCCGGATCTCAGAGATCTTTCAGAGGAAGACTAAAGAAACACCGCTGGAACAACGTCAAGGTATGCCTCTTGGTATACCTTGGTAGGTCCCTTATCCCCCCACTCAAGGAGACTCCTCAGAAAGGGTACCCTCCACCATGAGGTGTAGTGGGGCACGAATACTGGAGAGGGGCCTGCCGCCATCCTGAGCATCAGAGTGTCCCTGAGGTCCCAAGAGTTAGCACAGCACTGAACTGTGCCTCAGGCTCCCTTGGTGGATCGAAGCAGAAGGGGCTTTGGACCAACTCAAAGAACACGTGACACAAGTCTTTGTGGGCTGAACTGTCTCTGCCTTCCGCTTGTAAGACACCTTTGTGTGTCCCCCAGAGAAGGGGACTATCCCATTGGAGAGTGAATTTGGCCTTGCCCCCCCCCCACACACACACACGATGTTTCTGAAGCCAGGAGGCAGAGTGAGTCATAAGGAGGGTACCATAGAGAAAGGTGGCAGGTTGTCCCAGCAGTATACTGGAGCCACATCCCAAAACATTTCTTACCCTTTCTGCTTATGGAGACTAAAAGACAATTTTGGAAACATGCCCTTACATCTGCACATGTCGTTCAACGCTCTGTCCGAATGTAGAACCACGGCTATGCGTTTGCTACTGACGACTAGGCAGGCATACACTAGTAATAATGGGACTTAAGGAGGCTTCCTGAGCAGGTAAGATGAACACAGCCCTAGAACTCTTACTGGGACAGGTCTCCTACAGCTGCCATGCAGACATCCTTACAACCTTAGGGTGCAGAAATAGTTATTTTGGTCAGAGAAGTGATGATATGCGCTCACATCTACACAGGTGGTCAGAGTAGGACTTCTGTGCAGTGACTCTTTGCTTTTGACAGGAACCAGTGTGACCTTTGTTTCCCTGTGTCATAGATAACTCCAAGTTGAAGTCTGTCCAGGGAATTGTGACCCATCTCTGTACCGACTATGGCTGGATTAATGAGTCTATCTTTTTCAATACTGATGTGGTGTGTGGTAACATCCCTGTGAACATTGGGACCAATGTTATTGCTCTTGTGGAAGAAACAAAAACAACTCATACACTGAAAGCAGCCAAGGTATGGTAAAGTTTACCCAAAGTCTCTTGGGGTACTGGTTTTTTTTTTTTTTTTTTTTTTTTTTTTTTTTTTTTTTGCCATGATAAAATATCATGAGAACAATTTAAGGAATTGTGTTTATTTGGGCTTACGGTTCTAGAAGATGAGTCATCATGGCAGGGAGGTATGATAGCAGCAAGCAACAGCTATGGTGACAGGAGTCAGAAGCTGAGAACTCACCTCTTCACAGTCAGCCTTAAAGCACAGAGGCAGAACTAGAAATGTTGACAGTCTTTAAAGTTTCAAACTTCTTCAAAAAGGCTCACACATCCTAAACTTCCCCAAATAGCCCCTCCAACTGGGAAACAAGCGTTCAAACAACTAGCCTTTTGGGGGATATTCTTATGCAAACTATTGTATTTGATGGGAATGGTGGTGCGTGGCATTAGTCATAGGACTCAGGAACCAGAGGCAGCAAACTTTCTGAGTTCAAGGCCAGCCTAGTCTATATAGTGGTTTCCAGGCCAGCCAGTGTTGCATGGTGAAAACCCATTTTTTTAAAAAAGTTTCAGAGAAGAGAACAGAGGAGTGGATGGGAGGGAACAATAAGGAGGGAAGGAGGGAGGAGGGAGGGAGTGAAAACTGCATTCAGGCTGTAATATATGAGAGGCAAAAAGAAGAGTGTAATACTATTATGCATTTTTGTAACACAACAATCAAATTACATTGTAAAAGATGTACAGTGTCTTGCTGAAAGTAGCTAAGAGTTTCCTTGTCTTCTTTAGAGTATAAACTTAATAACCTTAAAACTTTTATGTATAAACCAAATTTTAACCAAAGAGATTCATTGTTGATGTACAGTCAAAGTTGGCATCCCACTTCTCTGAGCTTAGTAGATTTTATGTTAAAACATTTGAATGCAGTGATGCTTATTCTGTATCTATATATTGTGTCAGCTCTCTTAATATTTGAACATGTAAATGATTCTGTATAACCCTGCAGTTTGTATCATATACTGACCAGCCATTTTCTATTCAGTATCCAAACTAGAATTAGTATGACAAAGACTGTATTGTTCATACTCTTTTCTATGTCAGTTAAAGTGTATGTGTTTATTCACTTCAACTTTTTAGATTAATTTTATTATTTCATGTGTGTGAGTGTTTTCCCTGCATGCACATCTGTATACCACATGTGTTCCTGATGCCTGAGGAGGTAGAGAGCCTCCATATAGGTTTACTTCAGTGAACTATTGACAAAACACTGATGGCTATTGTCAGATTATTCTTGGTTATGCTTTTCCAGTTGAGTCTCAACAGCAGGCCACAGAAGATCCCTTTGCCAGTATTGGTAAATACTGGCATACTATTATTATTATAAATCATGGTAAAACTGAGAACAGAGAAGCAAGGTCCTGATCATATTTTGAATTTTTTTAACTCTTATTGATAAAGTTATAATTTGTACTTCTTGTTTTTCTCACACAGTAGATTCATCATACGTCTTTCCACATTGGGAAGAAATATATTTATTAGGAAAATGGGATGTGTTTCTCAGTAATTTTTCTAAAACTCCCTGTTTTTTATTCTGAATGTTTTAAAATAGCAATTATATCATTAGTGCACTCTGTCAGGAGCATATGCCAATAGGCCAAACTCTTTTGTTTTTCACAATGTCAGAATTTATTGAGTAACAATAAATTCATAAGACACAGTGGTTTCAATGGCAGTACTTTGCAAGAAAATCCTGCTTATTTTGGTAATCTGAACAAGATTACACATTATTTTGGTAATCTGGACAAGATTACACTTTTTTTCTTAATTTTAACCTTAATTACTATTCCCAATTGTCATATAATACTCTATAGTTAATATGTAAATACACAGTAAATACAGGTTACATAATGAATACAAATGGTTAAAGAGGTTACAGCAGAGATTCAGGAGGTTTCAAGAGGTATGAAAAAAATGTAAATAGAGTTGTGTCCCAAAAGCCAGCAAAAGAGTCAGCGAAAGCCCCTATTCCCATTGTTAGGAATCCCACAAGAAGACCAAGCTACACAACTTTGACATATATACAGAGTACCTAGGTCAGTCCTGTGCAGGCTCCCTGGTTCTTGTTTCAATCTCTGTGAGCTTCTATGAGCCCAGGTTAGTTGATTCTGTGAGCTTTTGTTTGGTGTCCTTGACTCCTCTGGCTCCTACAATCCTTTATTCCCCTCTTCTGCAGAATTCCCCAAACATCACTTAATGTTTGGCTATGGGTCTCTGCATCTGCTTTCATCAGTTGCTGGATCAAGCCTCTTGATGACAATTGGACTAGGCACCAATCTGGTCACAGGAGATGACCAGTTCAGACTAATTATCTGCCATTGCTAGGAATCATCCTTATAGATCCCTGGGAGATTCTCTTGTGCCAGGTTTTTACCTGACCCTGAAATGCCCCCATATCCCACCCCGGCTTCCCAGTAGTCTCTTTCAGTGTAAATGTGCCACATTTTCTTTATCCATCTAGTTTCTTTTCAGGTTCTGGCTATCATAAAGCTGCTATGAATATGATTGAGCAAGTGTCCTTGTGGTAGGATGGAGAATCCTTTGAGTATATGTTCAAAAGTGATATAGCTGGGCCTTGACGTAGACTGATTCCCATTTTCCTGAGGAACCGCCATAATCATCTCCAAAGTGGCTGTATGAGTTTGCACTCCCACCAGCAGTGGAGGAGTGTTCCCCTTTCTCCACATCCTCTCCAGCATAATCTGTTGCCTGTTTGTTTCTTTGTTTTGCTTTGTTTTGTTTTGTTTTGTTTTGGTCTTAGCCATTCTGAAAGGTGTAAAATAGAATCTCAGGGTGATTTGATTTGCATTTCCTTGATGGCTAAGTATGTTGAACCCCTTAAGTGTTTCCCAGCCATTTGAAATTTTTCTGTTGAACAGTCTCTGTTTAGATCTGTATCCCCCCCCCTCTTTTTTTTTAAATTGGATGATTATTTGGCTTGTTGATATCTAGTTTCTTGAGTTCTTTGAATATTTTTGAAAACAGCTGACTGTCAGATGAAGGATTGGTGAAGATCTTTTCCCATACAGTAGGTTTCAGATTTGTCTTATTGGTGGTGTCCTTTGCCTTACAGAAACTTTTAAATTTCATAAGATCACATTTAGTAATTGTTTTTCTAGGTGCCTGCATGATTGATGTTCTGTTCAGGAAATTGTCTCCAGTGCCAAAGTGTTTGAGACTTTTTCTCCACTTTCTCTTCTGATGCCTCGCCTGGCCTTAGTACATGAGGAGGTGCTTACTCTTACTGCAACTTGACATGCCTGCCTTGTTGATATTCATGGGAGAGCTGCTCTTTCCCAGACAGGAATGGAGGAAGAGTGGAGTGTGGAGTGGGAACAGAGGAGGGTGAGGGAGGGACTGGGAGGAAAGAAGGGAGGGGAAATTGAAGCCAGGATGTAAAATAAATAAGAAGTTAAATACATTTTTTTTTAAAAAAAATACAAACAAAAATGTAGAAACAGTCTTTATGGATAAGATTGGAAACTGAAACAGGCTGTGGTGAAGGAGCTGCTTCTGTAGAGTCAGGTATTGTGACCAGTGAGTTTTTCATAAAAAATACAGATAGTGTCCAGAAGCAGAAGCAAAGAGCAGGACTTTTTTTTCAAGGTCAAGAACAGGTAAATTGATTGATTGAGGCCCACAGGGTAATGGGGGGGATGCTGGAAAGACAGATAAGTAGGCATTATCAACAGCAAGGACTGGCCTCAGCTGAAGAAGAAGGGACTTTTTTTTTTTTTTATGTCAGCCCTTGGCTAATCCAACAAGTATCAGATAATGGGTCGGTGGGGGATCGTTGCTATAAAAGTGATAGGTATCCACTTTTTGATGTGGTTCAAATGGAGGGAGCTGCACCTTTGCCTTGGTCTGGTGTGTGTGATAAGTTCTTAGGCCTGGTTTTCCTTTCAATCTCTTCTGATGGGGGTTATTTCTCGCATGTCATTTTCTACTTCTGCACATGGGTCTAGTCAGGAAATAACATGCTCCCCTTCCTTGTTCTCCAAAATTGTGCTGCTCATTCTTGTCCCTGTCGATACATTCTGCTCTACTCCCATCTCCCAGAGTAACCCATTTCTTTTCCTTTGCACACATCACAAAACACATTTCCTAAAATTACCCCACCAATGTCACTCAGCCTAAAATTTTTTTTGTCTAAATGTGCAAAATTGTTTCCTAATCTGCGTTACGACCATGAATATAACTTGTTTAGAAGTAGATTTTAAAAATATTTTACATTATTGGATTTTTGAACTCTTGGAAAGCAAGAGCACTGTACTTCCAAGATCAGAAGGTTAAGTTCGTGAGAGTTTTAAACAACAATGTGAAATTCACATTTGCAGGCATTTTCCAACCCATGGAGCAAGTACAGCCTCAATTGACACCATCACCTCAAATCCATGATGTGTCTTCAATGGAAAATGTATGGTCTAGCTTTGAGAACAGTTGTTTAAAAGATTCCTGCTACAGGAGGGCTATTTTGGTGGGAATAGTAAAGTGCATTGTCTCAGACAAGGAGCCCTATGTACTACTGCAAGCACCCTTACATCTGTGTTAGGTCAACTCATTAAAATGCTATTCTTTTGATGGGGAATCTTTGGTAAGTGTACAAATTTCTGCCTGTGAGTTTTACTTCACCTTCAGCCACTGTGTCCTTCTCTTGCAGGTGAAGGCCATGACTAATCTTCTTGGTGATACTGAGGAATCAGTCCTTGATAGAGAACTTTGTATTAGGTGTGTCACCTCAGTAACACAGGACAACATCTATATCAGCCGGGAAACTTTTTTCCCTGTCAAGCTGTTTTCAGGAGGTAAGATTTCAGTATTTAAAAGCATAGATCAAGAGTGTGGGAAGTGTCCTTGAAACTAAAAGTAAGGTATAATAAAAGGAAAAATGGAAAGAACTTTAAATATTGCCTAGCGATCCTGTCCACCCCATGTCATAAGTTATCCAAGAGGTTTTCACTATTCAGTTGATTTCTTTGGCTGCTGTGTTTTTCATTTAGGGTTCCTCAAAGATAGCTGAAACTCACTATGAGTCTGAGACCTTTTCATGACTCAGGAAAGCCATCCCTTCCCCTTCTGAGTGCCGGGGGCATCAACATTGTGCCACTGCATCAGGATACATGCAAAATATGAGAGCATCACACAGAATAAGAGTTTATCTTGAATATACCTCCATCACTTCAGAGCAAAGGTGCAGATAGGTCTCTCTCTTTCTGTGTCCTCTTTCCAGAACTTTCAACAGATAGGGTCTTACATTTTTGTCTCTAGCCTAGCTGCCAAGGTTCAAGCATGTGCTCCTACTGTGTACCTGCCTGCTGTCACCGAAGGAGATATCAAAATATCCACTTGATGAGAAAATAATGTGCTCCTAGCCTTAACGTCCCCTCTGAGACACACAGTTGCTAGTTACACATATCTGATGAATAAATGGTTATAGAAGAACCAGTATACCAGTGTTGAAATAAAGTGCTTTAGGTTTCCTTACTGTTAAGAAGATATTTGAGGTATCTGTCAAGTATATACATTCAGGATATGTTGATCAGCATATTGCAGTGATGAAGGGTCTTAGGTAATGTGACAGGACCTGAGTGCAATGACATTTACACTGCTAATTTTCTTGGCTGCTTTAGAATTTAAGCCTCTCAAAGGAGACTTGTTGCTGATTGAATATTCTTTGAAGCCTGGAAGTTCAGACATGAAAATTCACTCTGTGAGCCCCCTCAGCTCACAGAATATCAAAGAGGTAATATGCTTCCATGTTGCCCTTGCCATGGGTACACAGCTGCCTATCCTTCCTTCCTGATCACTGTTTTAGCCCAGGACTTTGGTATGTTTGGCAGTATGTCCCCTGCCAAAGTGGACACATTCAGTGATTGAAAAGGAACTAAACAGAAAATAATATAGATTATACACGTACTTTATTCCTAGGTTGTGTGCTCTACTTGACGTTAGGATGTTCTGTGGATGGCAGTTACAAAGTATCTTGGCTATGGGGCAATGGTGGGGAAACTTTGAGTGTCCTGGGTTGAGGTGTTCAGCCTGCTGATAAGGGGTGGGAGGAATAAGACCCTGGTTAGTACAGCCTGAGAATGAGATGTAGTCAGGGAGGTAGAGTGTTTGGCCACATTGGGTAGCATGAAGGGCACATCCTCTCATCAGATACGCAGGGCTCATCCTGTTTCTCTGCTTTAGTAGGAGAGGGTGACATGCTGGCTCAGATGTGTTCACACACTTCCCTGTGTGTCAAGGATGAGAACCAGTGATGGGGCTTGGGACCTGATGATTAGAGACAAGGGGTTGTTAAGGGTAGCTGTGGTGAGTTACTCTTCCTCATACCCATTGCCGTCCTTTCCCTTCGTAGGTCTGTGTGACCAGCCTTGACGGAAGAACTGGTGTGGTGGAAACCAGCATCTTTTTCACATTGGATTCCCTCCAGAAGCCTAAAGGTTATATACCAGAGCTCTATGACATCGTGAACGTGGTTGCTGTGGACAGCATTCAGCCACACTGTTCTCGGAGAGCAGTATCAATGTTCCCAGCGGAAATGTGTATTGGCCAAGCCTTATAATTCATTTTCAACATTATTTCTAAGGCTCTGGTTTAATAAAATAATATGAGCATGTAATCCAAAGATATACAATCTAGGACTCTTCTTTTGAACATCCGGATTAGCAACACGAACTCTGTTAATTCAAAAACATGTCCTATTGGAATATGATTTTAGCAAAGAAACAGCCCTGCCTTCAAGGTGAATGCATTATTTCTTTTTCATTAGCATGAACAGATTCTATGCTGCCAGTGGCCTTGTTGGCCATTAAGCAGCATGGAGAAGCAAAGCATTTAACTCAAGATTCTCTGAGTGAGCAGCCAAATGTGAACACGTATGACTTTGCATTGCGGATTGTCTTGTAGTCTGAGTCACTTTATGCCTTTCCGATGTTTATTTCTCTACAATATCTTTCATTTCCTACCAGCTTCTCCATTTGTTAAACTTAGTGTTCATCTGTACATCCTCCTCCTATGGTAGTGTGCAACATAAGTCAGTGCAGAGAAATGAAAGACCAGACTTAGTTCTACTTCAACCAGAAAGATGAGAGTAGACTCTTACTAGTCTGAGAATTGGGTCCCCAATTCCCCAATTGGGTCACATGCCCCAGCCTTCATAAGGAATCCTGGACCTGTCGAACATCTGCAGAGTGAGGGATCTCTGCATTTGAGATCCAGGCTACCCCGACCAGTTTCCTTACATCAATGCCTGCTGTAGTCTGGCCCTCTACCCACAATTCTATACCTTGGGTATTCACTGCAGTCTTGATCTTCCAGGCAGAGGATCAAGATTTGGAACTTACACCATTTTCCCCTAGTCCTGAGTGCGGCCATCCCCATTCTCAGAACCCAGAACCCAAAGCTTCAGTGTCTGTCTGCTTCATACCCTGACTTGCCATCTCATTGCTCATGCTATAGCTGCTATTGGCCCCTTTGCCACAGACCACTGGAGAATATCTCCCGCCTCAGTGTTCTTTTTTTTTTTTTCCTTTTCTTTCTTTTCTTTTCTTTTTCTTTTTTTTTCAGTCCAGGTCTTGATTTCTTTTTGTACACTAGACCATGAATTCATATGGGATGGGCTCCAGCAGCTCAGGCTCCTTCCCTTTTGTCCTCACAAAGTGTGCTTCTCTGGGTGGCGCAGGCTGGCGCTTGAGCCGAACCCAGGTGTCCTTCTCCCTGGCTTCCTATTCCTTCTGGTCGGTCTCCTTCACCCGCGTCAGGAAGCTGTCCCTGCTCTTAGAGTGCTTGAGGTGCTCAATCTGCACGTTAATCCTCTTGGCCAGAATCTTGCCCTTAACTTGCTTGTTGACCATGATGCCCACTGCATGCTGGGTGACATTGTAGACTCTTTCTGTTTTGCCATGGTAACACTTGTGGGCATTCCTTTTTGAACACCTTTGAACACCCTTCTTGTAGATTCGCATATACGTGGCCAAAGGAGCAACTCCATGCTTCCTAAAAGGCTGAGAGAACATGGAGCGAGTGTCTTTCCTCTTTCTCTTCGTGTTTGCCATTTTGGCCAGTTGCTGGAAGATGGCTGCCGTGGCCAAAATGCCCACCTCAGTATTCTTAAGGTCCAAGTTTCTTCAAGGCTTCCCAGACCCAGCCATTGAGTGCCTTGGTACTGTAGTGCCAAACTCTGTGGTCAGCTAACCTCTAGGAGGACAGGATTCTCAGACCAGACCCAGTTCAATACATTTTTCAGCCATTCACTAGTACTGATCTTCTGAACTAGTGACATTATACTGAGATCAGCCACCAGTTATGATCAACCTCGTGATTGCCATTATGCACAACCACTAGCTTACTTGAGTAAGCCAACAACTCCTGACTGACATTTTTTTTTTTTTACATTCAGGTAAAGGGTGTAGCACCTGCCTGGCTGACCATTCAAGCACCCCAAACACTAGTAACCTGAAGAGATTCGCTGACACCCACATCCTGATGAGTGCCCCAAATGTAACCCCAACACACCAGTGATCCTCCAGGCCCTTCTAAGAATGGTGACAATCATGCTGGGGGAGTTCAGAATGAGGATTGTGGAGTCCCAATCTTAATCAAAATAGAAGTCACCAGGTACTCTGATGAATCCCTGAATCAATAATATGAGCAGCACTTGACAAAGACAGTACACCCCTTTTGACCCAGAGGTCACTGTTCTCTGAACCATGTTCAACACAGATTTTTTCCAACAGGTGGTCACTGGAAGCTCCAAAGGACAGACAGTTTCATAGGGATGAATACGGAGCCACTTACAGACACCAGAACCAAAGTGGTTGCTAACTGGGAAAAGGCTGAAAAAGGAAGAAGGGGGAGGAGGAGGAGAATAAATAAAGTAAAATTACTTAGAAAAAAAGCACACAAAAAATGATGTCACATTGGAGTCTGAAGAGAATTCAGACATCCAGAAGCCCAAATGAAGGGAGTATAGCCAGAGGCCATTAGAATGGGACCAATGTGTCTTCTTCAAGGAAGTATCACAGACCACCCCAGCCTGTTATGGGAGTCCCTGGCACGAGGGTTCTCGAAGACTAGGTGAGTAAGAATTCAGTGTTGACAAACAGAAACAAACATAGAGGCAGTTTAACTGACTGTATTTTGCAGCTTTCAAGCAAGGCTTTTTATCCAGGATAAAGAATAGCTTCTCAGATATTGTGTTCACTGAAGGAAATCCAGATAGTACAAATGACATCATCATTGTTAGGCACAGTAACGTACAACTTATTCAAGGCTAACAATAAATCAGAAATTCATTCAAGGCTAACCACAACTAACTGCCTGTTTTCTAAGTTCAGGTTAATAAGTTTTTATAGTCAGTTATTGTTTAATATTTGTTGCCTAACTCTTGAGAAACTTTGAAATATTGAACTATTTTGACTTTTTCGTATCAAAAGGCTTTCTTTACCAAATGTTTAAATCTACTCTAATTACACATGTACAGCCACATGAAGTTTTATAGTTGGGAAAGTTTCCATTAATACTACTTGGACGTGAATGATTTGAAAAGCTCTAGTTTTCCTGGAGACGACGAGATCATGGTCAGTGACGACATCTCAGGGGACGGTTTCTCATTTGTATCTTTTTTTTTTTTTAATGTCAGCATAGGCTTTCAGGAACATTTCGTTAATATGAGAAAGGAATAGAAGAGCAGAGATCGCCATGAGAATTGTGGCTCAGTACTTTTCTCCGGACGAGAGAGTTCTGCAACCGGTTCCAGGAGACCTCATTCTTATGAAGTTATCGCCTCAGTCTGTGGAACTTGTCACACAGAATCTACCGGATTTGGCACTTGAAGAATGAATGACGGCCCTCACTAGCAACTGTGTTCAGGACTCAACATTCCCATATAGTCAGCTGTCTAACCAAATTAAGGAGGACCTCAGTCTAGCCTAACAGTATAATTGCCCAGCAGAAGTATTTAGACTCCCTAGGGGCCAGGGTCTTAAAAAATCAGAAAGGGCTAGAGCTAATTGCAGCTTTGAAAGGGTGGCATATGCATCTTCTTGGGAGAAGAATGTTGTTTCTATGCAAAGCAATCAGGGATAGCAAAAAATATTATTAAGCAATTGCTAGACATAGATTGCTAGATAATTGCTAGAGTAAATCAAAGCTAAAGATGAGACCAAAAGATCTTACTGAGGTATGACCTGGCCCTCCTGAAGCCCCTGGCTGGCCTCCCCAGTGGAACCTTTAATTATTATTCTCCTGGCTCTCCTGTTTGGGCCACACCTTGGAAATCTCCTAATTTGCATCGCCAGAAACAGTATAGAAGTAGTTAGATTCCAGTTCTTCCACCAGTATCAGAGGGTTCCTTTAAGAGAGGAGGGAATGTGGTGGGAAACTCCCAAAGTGCTACTTGTTAAATAAAGAAGATTCCTCAGTGCTGAGGAAGTTCCCCTGAGCTGACCCTACTGCACTTACACTCTCAAGGATGATAGACACTGAAGAGATGGTGTAATGAATTTGAATCCTGCCCAGCCACCATTTACAGCCACATATATGCTTTTGTACTTGTACTTCCTGTTTGCTGCATTCTGCTCTTCCAAATATAAAGGGTGTCTGAACCTGAGGCAAGACGCCTACTCCATTACATTTTGCTATAATAAACTTTCCTCGCCCCGTTTGAAAATGGTTTGGTGACTTAATTTCCCAGAAATTCCTGCAACCATTGCTTTCCATATGAAGGTTAAAAAACAATTGGCTCTTTTTCTGATAGCAGACATGAAAATTAATGAAAAACAAAAATAAAAAATCTTAACCCTTACTGTAACACGATAAATAAAAGACCCTGAATCAGGTGTTGGGGTTCAAGCTTCAGGCTGAAAATAAGAAAAAGCAGCCAGCCACGAGCTCTTTCTTACCTCTACCTCAGCTCAGACCAAAGGGGCAATTCTCAAACTGCTCCAGACTTCACTGCTCCTCAGATTCACTCAGACTGCTATGTTCCCCTCCATGACATTAGACTCAATTCTTCCTATTCTCAATATCTCTGAGAATGTTCCTGTCTTAAATACCTCTCATGAGTCTTGTGATTAAAGGCATGTGATTCGAAGTTCTGAGGCCACCTTTTGTGTGAGCTGTTTCTCTGTAGGACTAAATATATTTGTTGTAGCTCACTGTGGCCTTGAACTCACACAGATTAGTCCATCTCTGCATCCCAAGTGGTGGTATTAAAGGTGTGTACCACCACTGCATGGCTCCAATAGCTTGTGGCTGACTTTGCTTTCTGCTAATGAATCATAAATAATATATCAGTACACCTTACAGTTATTATAGGGGAATATTTTCTTTTACTTATTTTATTGAAAAGAGAGTCTTCTTGGCCAAGACCAAGATGGCTGGGAAACACTTTGCCACCCTCAAGAATGCCTGGGTGAAGGGACCAGTGCTGGCTGTAACCTACTACTACCTAGTGCCTGTGCAAGATAGTGGCAGCATGCCTGTTATGTCCAGTCACCCCCAGGTCCCCCGGGGCTCAAGACTAGAATGATTGAAGAACCTGTGAATACCCCTGCTGATGGAAGAGACCCCTTCATTGTTGCTCCCCAATACAAATGTGCAAGCCAACTCCCCCCAAAA